AAGTTGTTTGGCGCAACATAAGTGGTGGGAACTGCGGTCTACGTCGGCTCCCTCGTGGCCGAGCGGCCTCCCAGTACCTGAGGGGTGCTTGGGGCTGCCCTCGCAGTGCCATCCCTGCAGAGGCAGGGGTGCGCGAGGGCGGGATCCAGAGCGAAGGGTGCCTTTCGCTTGCGAGTTGTTGCCTGCTGCACTTCTGCAGGCTCCGATTGAAACAAGTTCTGGACGCGAGTTTCAGTTGCGCCGTGAATCGGTAGAAGTTTTGTATGAGCCTTTCGCTAAACTTTCAGAGCTCGTGGAATCAGGGGGGTTGAGTAGCGCTGTGGAAAAAGGAAGTAAAAGGAGCGGCCCCAAAAGGACTCCATTATTGGTTTCAGGGTTCCGGGAGCCCGCCACGAGAATCGGGCGTCCGCCAGGAAGAAGATATGCGCGATCCGATTCTTCTCCCCAGCAGAGCAAACACATGCCTGATCCGTGCAGTATTCGGAATGCCGCATCTGAGCGCTCCTGGCACGCGGGCTCATGGAACAGGATGCTGCGCAGGGCATCCCGGTATCTGGATTTTTCGCCTCCGCTGAACCACTTTGGGAGTTCTCTTTGCGGCATGGGGTAACTATAGCTTTTGCAGTATTCCTTGGTGCCTATGTGTATCAACTTGCGCTGCGAAGAAAATGATAGATTCCGTATCGTCTCTCGGAAATCACCTGAGTCTTTTACCAAGTGTTGCAGCGATGTCAGATGTTGTCTCAAGGCAGCCGCAATGAATTTCACCATTCGATTGAACGGGCAGGGTGGGGTCATGCAGTGGAGGAGCCGTGCTTTGCAGTTCCCTTCGCTTTTGTGCCTTACGTATGCGTCTTCGCTGTCCCACTGACTGTCCCGAGAAATTGACAGTAAAGCGCGAACCAATGCGGCGAAACTTATGAGGGCATCTCCGTCGCGGTCTCCCTGTGCAGGAGCATGGCTTCACGCGGATCGAAGTGCGGCACTGGCTCGCACGCGCTGCGACCTGCAGTAGCGAGGGAAAAAAGGTCTTACTAGAGCGTTTCTCCGAAGCAGTGCGAAGCCTTCGTCTTCGTCCTTTGGGAGGATACCCCACGTGTCAGCTTTCAAGCGATATTTCGATCCGGATAGCCAAAGGAAGCGGCGGAGACGTTGACGTCCTGATCGCTGCCTTGGCACACATGCTGTCCGCACTTTGTCGTCGAGATCTCTGCAACATCTTTCAATTGCTATGGCTCGCTCAAATGGAAGCGGGCGTATTCTTGAAGGCTTCACTGTAACGTGATTCCACCGTCTCTGCTGTGGTTCCTCGGTTTGGTGTTCGTAGTGACATTGCCAGCACATTCTGTGCAGCGTATGACATCTTGCCGGGATTAGGAGACGTTGCGCTGGAACAGACCGGACAACTGGCGTTTACCAAACGTCCCCGGGCGTTTATTAAACAGATTTGCCCTGATTGATTCCTTCTTCGGGCGCGTTTACTAAACGGTTTCGCGTGTCGGGGTGGATACTATCGGGCCGGATTTTCTGCCCTCTACACCTGCTTTCGGCGCCCGAGCCGTGCGGGCCAGCGGCCAGGTGGTCAAGCATGTGCATGCTTACCTGCCCACGCCCGCAGGCGAGAGCGTGGCCCCACTGCGGGGCGGGACGAAAACAAGCGTGCGTCTTGGAAACGCATCAATGTTTGATCGTCTGATTCGGTAGCAAGTCATGGGAGCCTGGCGTGCCCTTTCAATTCCGTCTTTAGCGTCGGTTAGCGTCGATTAGCGTTTGGGGGTCGATGAGAGAACGCCGATTTAGCGTCAGTTAGCGTCGTCTAGCGTCGATTTAGCGTCGATTAGCGTCGACTAGAGTCGATTAGCGTCGATTCGCAAGAGCCGACAAGATGGTATGGGAGGCTCCCATGAGTTGCCGCCGAAGTCTGATCGTCCAGTCGCTGTCGTAGCCATCCTTTCGCGATCTCCAAACGGAAATTCTGATGGTTGCAAGCCTGTGCCACCGCGACCGCGGCCTTCGTGGGCTCCGCGGCTCTGTCCACGACCGCGCCCGTGTGTCGCAACGGCGCCGCGGCCCCTGTTCTGGCCCTTTGCTTGTGCCGTTGGACGTACGTCTGCCTCTGCCCTGCAGGTTCTTCCTATTGGAGTCGTCCTTGGAGCCTTTGCCCTTGTTTTCGATGGCCTTGCCGTTGCCTTTGCCGTTCGGGCACTTGCACCTGACGTTGCTAATATTCCCACGCTTACCCATGACATTGCTGATATTCCCCCCCGCCCGTCGCAGGGGCCATGCCGTTTCTGCTGAATCACGCTGTACCTCGTCGGGCGTGAGGCCCTCGGCGATGTCGTCCTTCGCCTTGTGGTACCACGATGCCGATACCTCCTTGATTGGGTTCATCTTCGGTGCTACTCTGGATTTGGGTTTGGCCTTTGCCTTGGACGCGCGGTCTTTTATTATTATTTCAAAAGAGGTCCTTTGGATGTGTCCCCATTTGATTAGAAGCTTGCTCAATTCGGGCGCAAGGCAATCCACTGGAGGATGCAGCGCAGGGGCGGCCTCCATGCCCAAGAATTCAAGTGCCGAATCTGCGACTGGTCGACTGGACACAACTCGCGATACATTTCTCGCGAGTGGACCGCGAGCATGGCTCATTACTTCTGGGCGCGCAATATAGTCACGTCGAGCTGTTTTGTGATTTGCGTGCGCTCGAAGCACAACTTTCTTTTAGCCTCCCGTTTTGTGATCATCTGTAAGTCGCAGTCGATTTTCTGATTGTCCGTCATGATGGCGTCCAGTTTCTCGCATTCGCAATTGATCGTGAAGGTCTTCAACATGGAGGGGAAGTTACCACTACGCATGGACTCTCATTGGGGAGGATAAAGCGAAACCCTTGCACCTACTACTGTTTGAAGCTGGTCGATGTCGGAGAGCAGGTTCATGGACGTTTACTCAATCATCTGGTTCCTCTCTGGATTCGGTAATTTCAGGGCTCTTCGATAAATGCTCTGATGCCACGGTGATCGTTGTGATTTGGAGCTGCGAGCTTGCCACGGGTTCCTTCCAGATCAGGTTCCACAGGAGACGCCTCGCGGATTGCGTTCCTGCTGGGGTCCCGGGGTGTTGTTGCAGGTAGAGCTGCGGGCTTTTCCCGAGGACGTGCACTTGGGTGTTAACCTTGCTGCCCACGTCGGGACTTTTTGCCTGCCACTTCCTCTTGTCACGCCGTCGCTCAACAAGGGTAAGAACGATAATTTGAAACGATTTCGATGCTTGTTGAATGCTGGTCGCACTTTGCACTCGTGACTATGATGCCAGGCTCGCCCAGCGCTTTGGCGAAGCTGGGCTGCCGACTTGGTGCCCAAGCTTTTCGAGCCCACATGACTACGGACGCCCTGTCGGAACAGCGCTTCTAGCCGAGCTAATGTCAGAAATTAGGCGGAACAAAGTAATGTCGCAACGACGTTTGTTGGCCAACAAAGTTCACAAAACCAACAACGCCCACAATGCCTACAAAGCTCACAAAGGTGTCAGTGTTCAGGTATACGCGTATACCCAGACATCCTCCGACACGGTTTTTGTCAATCCGTGGCCTCGGAGCCCTCGACCCGTTTCCCAGGGGTGGTTTTGCATCCTGGATCCGCTTTTAGCTGGCCCCTGGGATTCAGAACGGCTCCCCGGGGCCGAAATGAAGACAAAAACGCCCTGATGGCAAACATCAGATCGTCGGAGATCCGGGTAGATGCCTTCCGCGTGCACGGGCCCAGCGCCAGCCACCTCTTGTCGGAGGCCTGCATCAATATAAGCGGCGCGCCTCCAGTCAGGGAGGATGATCCCGATCTCGGCGATGGTGGTAACACGTGGGCTTCCCAGGTGGCCAAAGGATTACCAAGAACACCGAAGTCTAGGACCATCTCCCCCCAGTGGAGGCCATCCACTTTGTCGGTGCTGGTGCCCATTTTCAAGCCTCCAACTCTTCAGTAGCAACGTGCAGGGCGGATAGGCTGAATGAGTGACGCATCGACCCCCAATCGCCCATTCATCGCCGATCTATCGGCGATGGGCGGCTGCCCTTCTCTCCAAGGCTCTGGCGCGAGGGCGCGAGGATAGCCGCGCATTGCGGGACGCGACGCGCGATTTTTGACAACCTAGGAGATTTGGATCGCGTCGCGTCGACCGGCGATGACCCCGCCGACGTTCCACGCCGAACGCCGCCAGCGACCCAGAGTCGGTCGATGCTGCACGAGCTGACGCTTCAGAAGCGGCCGGTCGTTCAGGGCTGCACGATCCCCACGGTGTCAGAAACCCCAGACCCCCGACGTCATGATTTTTTCATGACGCGCCCCCCAGAGGTCCAGACCCTTTCCCTATGACCGGTTTTTCGTCCTGAGTCGTTGTTTGACGCTCCCGAGGCCCGGTGAGGGCCCCCGCAGGCCGAAAATAGGGAAAAACCTCCCGTCGTGATTTTTTCATGACTCGAGGAGGTCTGGGACCAGCGCTGAGGCTGGCACGACTCGACCCTGCTGTGGGTGCCTTCCGCGCACGCGGGCCCAGCGCCAGCCGCCTCCGCCTGCGCACCCGGCCCCGAGGGCCGCCGAGGGCCGCCGGGGAGACCTCGGCGGGCGCCCTCCGCGCACACGGGCCCGGCGCCGGCCGCCCCTGCCCCCGCTCGGCGACGAGACGAGCCCGGGGGGGAGGCGAGGAGAGCCGAGATGTCCACAACTATAGCTCTGGTAGTTGTGGGTCGAGTGCTTTAAGATAGGGGGGAAGTTAATATGTTCCAAAAAGAGAGGCAAAAACAGATGAAAAGCGATCTTCCACAACTTCGACAGAACTACCAGAACTTAGTTGTGGACATCTCAGAGAGGGCGGGCCCTCTCGGGAGGCTCGGAAGTCCCCCCCCCCCCGCTCGCCGCCGAGCCCGGGCAGGTCCTGGGCGGGTGCCTCCCGCGCGCGCGGGCCCAGCGCCGGCCGCCCCCGCCTCCGCCGCGCCCGGCCCCGAGGGCGGCCTCGCACCTGCCCCCCCCCCCCCCGGGGGGCCCGCGCCGGGCACCGGCCGCCGCATGGAGGGGCGGGCCGCGCCAGCGCGGCCGCAGGCGGCGAAGGCCAGGCCGAGAGGGTGCGGTGCCGCGTCGGCGCGGGAGCCTTTTGCGAGAGACGGTGTCGTGGTTGCCGTCGTTTCGAGCGACACTGTCATCCTCGATGTGTGCTCCTCAAAGCACACATCGATGTGTGCTCCTCAAAGAATTTTCGGGGTGCGCATCTGGTATAGCCCTCTTGAGGGGCAGCGGATTCCTCCTTCTCCTCTGCCTTCGTGCCGTGAAAAAAATCCTGGATGTGTGCTCCACTGTATTAGAGGGAGCGACAGTGTCATGTAATTCGGTCGCGTCGGGTGACAGTGTCATCCGTTTCCCGGGGGCGGGAGGGGCAGATATGACGGGAGGCAAACCGCACCCTTCGCAAACCGCACCCATCGTAGTCGCCGAGAGAGGGTGCGGTGCCGTGTCGGCGTGGGAGGGGAGAGGGAGGAGCAGCCTCAGGTTTGCAGTGGGTTTTGGTTGGACAGGACACGCGAGAGGACACAAGACCCTTCCGAGGGCCACACGTTGCCACAGGAATGTAATGTGGGAGGCATGGGTCGCGAGGCACAGGACACAAGAGTACCCTTGATTTGACAGGATCGACCTACTACTCCGGGCCGACTGTATCATCTTCCAACCTACTTCTAGCCTCGATCACCAGAAAGAATCTCGAGCACCAGGAAAGCACCGAAGCTGGAGGGTCTCACGTGTCGGGCCCTGGGAGGCGATGCTCGTTCGACACTGTTTCGATATTGTTCGGGGTGCTCGAAATTGTTTGTGGGATGTTGTCCTTAAGTGCGATGGGAGCAACATTACCTCAGATGCCTTTCGGCGGCGACTGCCGGGGGGAAGTGAGACGGGGCGGGCCGTCCCAGAAGGCTCGGGAGTCCCCTGTCCTTCCGAGAAGCTGCCTACGGCTTCCCAGACAGCACCGACAACTTCTCAGAAGGCCAGAGGCTTTCTGAGATGTCCCGCAGATGTCCCGCCGCCTTCTGAGAGGGCCTTTCGCCGCCGAGCCTTGGTACTGGAGTAGGCTTCCTAGATGGGGCCCGAACAGGTGAGTCGGAGGACCGCGCCGCATCGCCGATGCATCACCGATGCGGCGCGATCTTCCGACCTCATTTACTCGGCCCCCTTTCTAGGAGGCCTCTAGAGACGCCCGTGTTGAAACGAATCACACGTACCTTGTTCAAAGCGTCCGTGTTAGCACGTTGCGTGCTGGTTCGGCACGTGTTGGTCCACATTGTGGCGTCCGTATGGCGCCAGACCTGCGTTTTCCATCTACGTGTTGAGCTCCGCGTCAACATGCTACGTGTTGCGCTCTGCGTATGGGGGCAGCTAAGGAAGCGACTCCACAACCATTGGGGGGACACCTCCAGGGAGGAGATCCACGCTGCCTCCCATAGCTGGGGATCGGAGATGCTTCGAGCGGGAGGGGGAGGACCCCCTATGGATCTGTTGGTGGTGTTGGTGTCGCTTTTCCTAGTGCCACGCCGAGATTATGCAGTCCCACTTCAATCCAGGCCTCCCAGATAGGGCCCGAGTAGAGAGATGGGGTCCAGGTCGGAGGACCGCGCCGCGACTCGTTGTGGCCCGATGTTTTCCACGCCGACGGCGCCGATGCGGCGCCGACGACGCCGATGCATCGGCCATGCATTGGCGATGCGGCGCGATCCTCCAACCCCGTCTACTCGGACCCCATGTGGGAGGCCTCCATACAAGGTGTCCAGCGAGCGGGGCGGACTGTCAGGAAAGGGCGAGCTGAGGCAGCTGTATTGGGCCTTCAGGGGGGGGCCTCGTCGCCACGGCTGGACGCAGCTCGGACAACGGGTGCGTTTGGACCCCGGGAGTGCTCTGGGCACCGGCTTATGCTGCCCTCGCCTCAGCTCGCCCTCCGAAGCGAGCGGGGGCAGATCGGAGCACAGCAGAAATCTCACAAGCATGGGCGCTCGGAGATCTGCGCGGATCTCTTCGATCGGCGGTTGGGGCCCCCCCTGCGCGCCAGGTGCCAGACGCCGCTAGGGGGGATCCGCCAGGATCTCCGAAAGTGTATGTTTATGTGTTTATCTCTCGCGTTGCCACTGCTTGGGGGGCACCGCCGCTGCGTCGCCCTCCCTCTTGGCCTCCCGGCTGCCTGCCGGGAGCCCTCGCCCAGCTCCTGCTTCCGCCGGGCGCCGCCTCCCCCTTGCCTGTGCTGCGTGCGCCGGCCTTGGGCTCGGCTCGCCGGCTCCCGGCCTCCCTCCCGCCGCCCCTGGCCTTCTGCGTGGCCTCCGCGCGCCCCTCAGCGGCAGCCCGGCGCCTGGGCTCCTGGCCGGTCGGCCTTGCCTGGCCTCTCCGCCCCACCCCGCCGCCTCTCCTTCCCCAGGCCGCGGTTGCGTTTTGCCCCGCCGCGCCGCACCGGCGCAGGGCTACACGCCCAGACCACCGCAGCTGTCACGCGCCCCGCGCCCCCTCGGCCCGCCAACCTGGCGGCCCGCCGTTCCCGCAGTCCCCACTTGCTGGGCACCGCCCTGCGCTGCAGCCGCCGGCTCCTCCCCTGGGGGCGCCCGCGATGCCGCCCCGTGCTCGCTGCCAGGGGCTGTCTTGTGGTTTGGCCGCTCCCCGCGCCCCACCGCGGCCTCGCCGCGCGAGTGCGCCCTCCTTTCCCTCCTTTTGTCTCTGCGGCCGCCCCTCGGCTCTTCCCTTCATGCGGGCCAATTCGCATCACCGTGGCCCAGGTTGCCTGGACGCGCGCGCGGACTGCCTCTGCCGCGCTACGACGTACAACGGTCATGTGCTCATGTATCATTCGGTCCCCTTTTTTAAATGGTTGCGGTCGAGTCGAGCATGTGGTTAAGAAACTCCCTTCCGAATAGTTGGGCCAGCGTTGCTTCACCAAGTTGCCAAAAAGCTGGCCCAATTTCTTGAGCACGTTCGCCCTTCCAGCGTCAATGGCAGAAATTGGCCCTGGCTTGTTTCACGAACCTTATTGGAAGCTGGACCAGATGTTTTAACTTTTCCTTGTTTTCGTCGCCCTCCCCATCCTCCTCCCTCCATGCTGGCGTCCCTCCTCCTCCTCCTCCTCCTCCTCCTCCTCCTCCTCCTCCTCCTTCACATGTGCCCTGTTAGCCAGAGGCCACGAGACACCATGTTCAATGATATGACTGAAACAGTGGAGGGTGCTGTAATGGGAGGCTCCCGAGGAGGTGCAGGAGGCAGGACCCAGGCCAGGATCCGGTGTCTTCTGGTGTCTGGGAGGGAGCGGGGGCGAGTTTGAAGGAGGAGGGGGAGGAATGGAGAAGGGCGTCGCAGGGCGAAGAGAATGGGCCAGGCATTCCAGTTTGGCAGATGGTTCGGATGTTCGCCCATCCCGTCCAGGGACACGCAGGGCAGGATGCGCGTGCCGATAGGAATGTATGTTTACGCCCGTCTCTCTGGACCCGCACCGTCTCAGCTTTCCCCGGCGCGCCATACAAGGAAAGGCGAGCTTCGAGCCGTTTAGGAGGCCGCAGAGAACCAGACTCTGGATCGATTGGCCCGTTGGTTACTACCGGCCGGGCCGTCCATTTTTACGCCCCGAGCAGCTCGAGGACCTGGATGGGACGGGGCCACGTTGGCCAGGCAGGAGGGGGCGCCCATTTTCGATGGTACCTCCTGTGGGCAAAATGCTGCAGTTTTAGAGACACCGTTCGATTCCTAATGACGTAGAGCGGCAATGTCCGCCATGCCCATGAACTTGACCCCGCACAGGAGCGACGGCTACCACCTCAGATATACCTAGTGGAGCTGCTCGCTGCTCCCTGTGAAGGAGCGGGCCTCAGGCAGGCCATTTTGCCCAGGCGTCTCGTTGGTGGTGTTTCGAGTCCGAGCAAAGCGGTCGTGCCCTGCAGGGCAACGCAGGAACCAGCCGCCCCAGATGAGGCTCGTGGAGTTTTGGGAGCGGCGCGTAAGTTACAAAAGCGGAAAATTGGCCTCAGTCGGGCAAGAGAGTGCACCGGGGACCACGGCTGTGGCTTCGTCCAGCCTTTTGCGGCCAGCCTTTCCCCCAGCACCCGCAGTGCACTCCGCAGGCTCGCCGAGAGGACCCGGCCGCCAGGGCGCTGCCCCCGGAGCTGGGCCATGAAGCGGCGGCGGGGCGCGCCCGCGGGCGCAGCGCCGCGCGGGCGGTGCGGGAGGTCGCCGCGGGCAGGCGCCGCACTGCGGGGAGGGCGGGCGGCCATGGGGGGCAGCAAGCGGAGAGGGGGGGAGGGGCGAGGAGTTCGGGCGGCCGTGAACGGCACCCTGGCACCCGAAGAAGAAGAAACAACAAAACAAAACAAACAAAAAAAAAAAAAACACGCCGTGAACATAAGCTGCTGGCGCTTCGCGCGGAGGGCTTGGATCCTCGCTGGGCCCCCTGGCGGCGCCTCAGGCGCCGCCCCTGGCGCGCTCCGTGCGCCGGGGAGGGGCCAGCGCAGATCCAAGAAATCCCCGCGGAGCGCCAGCCAAAAGTTTACGTAGATGGCGTGTTTGCTTATTCTATAATTTGCCGCCGCCGGCCCAAGAGTCCACCACGTCTAGTACGTTTCCGTGGACGGGCGCCTGATGCTCGGGGGGGGAGGGGGAAGGGCGGACCAGCGCGCAGCACGCCACACGGCGCACGGCAGGTGAGCCCTGCAAGAATCGAGGATCCTGGGTTCGAGGATCGAGGCTTTGGGGATGTTTCTCCCTTTTAGGGGGGGATCGAGGATCCTGGGTTCGAGGATCGAGGCTTTGGGGATGTTTCTCCCTTTTGGGGGGGGGCTATGCTAGGGCTCTGGCCGCCATCAGGTCGAGGCGCACCCCGGGAGAGGTCCGGGGGGCCAGCCTGGAGGAGCCAGACCTCCACGACGTGGTGCTTGAATTATTCTCAGAGGGGCACGAAGCATTGATACTAATAGTTTTCCAGATTTTCAGGTTTTCCTGTTCTC